GTAGCCACAGCGTTATACTTTATATTGAAACGCTCCAAGTGCCTGCATTGTGCCTGTGACCAGCCCGGTTTCACGGCGACAGCGAAAGTCAAATGAGTTTGACTTTTGCCGGCTGCCGTGTGCGGAGAAAGACAGTTGAACCAATCAACGCGATTATTTTTTATCAGCTGGTATGCTGATATTTTATTGGTCGTTGTTGCTGACATTGCCTCAACGCTTGTGATTGGTCGTGGGTTAGAACAGGTTAATGTCACGTGGTAGCAGCAAATAGATTGGTACCATTTCTCTTTGCAAATAGATATAAAACGACGTGATACGATTAAGAGTTCATCTATAACTTCGGATTCAAGATGGCAGCTTCCACAACCTCACTCGATTATTTATACTAACATTTTGTCAATATTGTTTTTTTATATGGTTGCGAGTGTTATGGCGCGAACTGTTCGTATCGAAGATCATGTGCAAACTTTACTTGAAAGTTTGCCCTCTGATGACAGGGAGGCTGATCCAGAGACTGCACATAGTGCCGTCGCCGATCTGGCACACAAGTGTCTGCAGGATATCTCTAAAAGAGATGTCGGTGCGTAATCAAACCGTCGATTCAATGTAGTACTAGTTGTAAGTAGTACTAGTTGTAAGTAGTACTAGTAGTAGTAGTACTAATAATAAATTTGAAATGTAAGCACGAACCGCATCTGCATCTGGCATCTGCATGTCTCAGCACTGCCACTGGCACTGGGTCACGACGTTGACGTCTCAGTTACTAGTTAGTAGTTATAGTAGTTAACTCGTAGACTAGAGTCGAGAGTTTTTACACCAAGTCGACACTGTACGTGACTGAGGTTGTTTCTCCGTTCACTGTATGATTAGTAGTACTATTAATAAATGGTTAGCCCGACCAGGCTCTACGAATGTTTTACATCGTGACGCCATGTAGTGAGAAGCGAGAAGGTATATTAATATATAACTTGTAGCTAATAAATCATAAATGGTATGATCTCGTGAAATCATGTTAATCACGTAATCACCCTACCTCAGGCGTCCCAGTCTTGCTCTTGGTTTTATTTTTTATTGAACTGTATGCGTGCCTGATATGGATTATATCATGTACGATCCTGATATGATATGTAGATTTCTGGTATTTATATTTCTGACACCTCGCCTTGCACTTGGTAAGATATGAAAACTGTATTAATTGGGACAGAGTCGGTAAAAATTGAAAATAATAGTCTGTAACCTGTATATCAATTTGCTTTCACAAAATCTAATGCAGAACTAGGCGCTCCCACTCTCGCCGCTGCGAGTGTGCTGTGTCGCCATTATAATGATATATAGTCATCTATATATATATATATATATATATCTTCTATATATCATTATAATGGCGACACGGCACACTCGCAGCGGCGAGTGCGGGCGCGTTCTGCATTAGTTTTTGTGAAAGAAAGTTGATATACAGTGACACAACAGTGGAAGTGTAATTGAGGGGTATTATTTGTGAATGTGCATTCATATTATTTTCATTTTTTACTGACTGTCCCAAGTGCCTGCATGTGCTGTTGCCATACAAACTGGTCAAAAATACCTCAAGTCAATTTAATTTAAATGATAATAAAATTGTAAATAAATAATGAACAGCCTATATAATCAGATAATTCGTCACCAGGACTCAATTTGCATTTGATTGTCTCTAGGAAATATATATCCATCATTCATGGCTGTAAAGATTGAGTGTGTTACATAATTAAGTTTACTTGTGGCATGTACTGTATTATATGTTCTTACTGCAGACCTCACCTGCTCTGTGCTCTTCTCTGAAGATAGAGGTGTTTTGATATTTCTGAGGAGAGCAATTCCCCTGGATGAGGTATGCACATGATAAATGATTAATGCTAATTTGTAAACCTACAAACTATAAATAACAACAGTATACATGTTGTTGCATAAAATTCATCTACATGCATATGTATTTGTATTGTATATGTGGTAATTGTAAAACGTTTTAACAATATATAACATGTAACACTATATAACACTCTATAATATATATATATATGTATATATAATATATATATGTAACACTATATAATATGTAAATGACTAGAAATAGTATTTAAGATTTTCTTCAAAGATTGATTGATGTAACCCTGTTTCTTATGCCTTGCAGTTCAAGTTGGCAAAAAAAGAGCTCCTTCAGTTGTTACATAGTTTCATTAACAAAGGCCAAACTCGAATCTTGACCTATGCAGTAGACATTAAGGTAAGATCGACCTAGCTAGTTCATAATGTATGTAATATGTGTGTGTGTGCGTACGTGCGTGGATGCATGCATGCATGTGTAGCTCTCTGTATTAGACACTGGCTTGGTTGGACCTCAAATGAAAATGTTTACATGTCAAAAAAACTTTAAAAACAAATCACCAAGCTATTGGAATTCACAATCTATAACATTTCTTTAGTAATTGAGTTAGCTATGTTTGACACTATTGCATAATGTGTTGACTACTCACACGTGCATTCATGAATCGTGTGATTGCCCTGTCCATCCATGACTGCGATGAAATGTTGGCAGTCACAGTTCCATTGTCATGATAAGATCTCATCGTTTCATCTGATGTTTGTGTTAATCTGTGACGTGAGTACACAATGTGTGTGATTCACCGATCGATCATGTTTCCAGGATACCTGCTTGGCTGTGTTCAGTCGTGATCGGCAAGCTGATGTGAAGAATGCGACGTTTCCACTCCTGATCAAGGTGTGAATCTAACGCAAAGCTAACATGCTCAAAATTCTCTCTACTCGCGGGCACACATGTATTTATATTATATATCTATATACAGTCCGACCTCCTTTAGCCGGCCACGTCGGGACCACGCGGCACCCATCCGGATATGGGATTTGGCCGGATATGAGAGTTATGCTCAAACACAGCATTTCTATGCTGTTCAGTAGGGTTTATTCATGTGATAATGTATTTAGTCGTTGCTATGATTATTTGTAACAAACTGTCGTGTTTTATGGTTTATATGAAATGGAAATAAAATGAATTAAAACTGAAATTTTACCGGAGGCATAGCGGACACGAGCGGACAACACACACACACACACACACACACACACACACACACACACACACACACACACACACATGCGCGTGTGCACGCGCGCACACGCAAACACACATACGGTTGGTACATCGCGTGAGTTTTGAGCGAGCTATGAGCGAGTTTTGAGCGAGATTTTTAGGTGGACATGAATGAAAAACAGAGAAGATACACTGCGAGATCACGGCCGGTTAATAGAGATTTCCGGATAACGGATGGCCGGATAAAGGAGGTTGGACTGTATATATATATATATAGATATGCACATGCGTATAGCCCGAGGCCTTACAATTCACCTATATGCCTTAACTGATTACAATACCTCCCTTAGATATTGTTGCTAGTTCCTTCAAGCTCGTCCAGTTTGTACTTGATTTCGACGACGAACCTATTTTATAGTCACTAACGATGTTAATCGTGCTCGGGATGATTAACCTTTTCTGCGTGCAGGTGCTGCAGTTGTGCCGTGGCTCGCAGACACAGGCAAAGCTTGACGTACCTAAGCTTATTGACAGGTATTTTAATGAGCTGACGCAGTCATCTAGGCTCACTAGTACAGGTAGGTGATGTTTACTCGATCGTGTGCATTTTTTTAGCCACTATATATAACTATTCCACAAATGGATTATAAAGTGGGGACATTGCATGCAGTTCGCTTGCTAGTTATGACACTTTTTATTGTTGTTATTATTGTCAGTATTATTATTATTATGATGATGATTATTGTTATCATTATCATTATTATTACAGATTTCTGCCACGAGACCTGAATCCTTTTGTTTATCAGGCGTAATATATTACATTCGAACAGTTGGGCAGGGAGTTTATCACCTGCTGGGTGTGATTGTAGGATGCTATATACCCTCATGCATGCATGCATGGATGTGTCCGTGAGTGCGTGCGTGCGTGCGTGAGTGGGTGCACGCGCATACTTGGCATACATGTTATTTAGTTCTGTCACCTATTTTGTAACAGTGAAGCAGGGAGTGTATCACCTACTGGGCGTGATCGCTGAAAGTTACCCGGAGCTGATGGTGGCCTATGCTGACAAGCTGATTAGCATCTATGTGAATGAGCTCAAGAATCAGGTAATGTAGAGTCAGCTAAGCATGGATACAGTCAAACCAGTGTTAGTGCACACCTCTATTATAGCATCGACAGCTGTCTACAAAGTCATTACCCCATGAGTGACCATTGTATACAGGTTTGACTGCATGAGGGTCATAGTTTTTATCTCAAATAAATGGGAAAATAAATACGTGTAGACAAATCATCATGTGCAAGCATTTAGTTTTTATCTCAAATAAATGGGAAAATAAATACGTGTAGACAAATCTTGCCTGTTAGTGACATAGTGACATATTACTGATTACTCCAGCACAACATTTAATGCAAGTTTATGCTGCTATAAAACAGCAAATTAACAATGAACTCTCTCACATATTCCTAAGATTGGAGAAATTGAAATGTGAAAATGCTGCCACGAAACAATTGTACGTGACATAAATTGTTCTATACTAGAACCCTATCTCAACATGTAGACAAAGGTAACACAGTGTAGATGTTGGCTCATGATAAAAAATCCCCTTTGAAATGCAGTTGTTAAGTGTGAGTGTACTAAGACACGTTAGCTTTATTGAATACACTTGGTGTTATGCAAAGAGTGCTGGTAAGTATCAGCGCAGTTAAGAAAATGTAAGAACGGTTGGAAAAACATGAGAAATCATTGCTTGATTTTCTATGCTTGAAGTAGGAACAACTTCTCAACAGTATATCTAACATGGTCATCATCTTCAGATGAAATCCAAGACGAAGAAACCAGAGTACCCTGTTATAACTGGATGTCTGAGAGGACTCACTTGCTACCTCAACACATTCAGTCAGTCCGCAGACGAGGGTAAGTATGTATGCGTGATGATAACGACACCAGCAACAATCACTCCAACGATGTGCAGAATAGCATGGCCAAAGATTACAGTTTGCATTGTCGATGGAGTCGGCTTGATCGACAGCAATGGTGTCCAGGCATGGCTATCTTGCTCCGATAGATAAGTGTTTTTGTTCACGATAACTGTGCGAAGAGGAATCGGTTTCAGGGTCTGTTTCAGTACATAGCGAACTGATATACAGATATACTGAACAACCGGCGACGATCTCTTCGTGTTCCCAATCTCATCGTGGTGGTGTTCCTAATCTGGAACCTTTCTAAACCTTCTGGTCATGCATAACGTGTTCATTTCGGTGCTTTCAGGCAGCGGGTACGCTCGCGACGTGTACGACTGTGTGATGCGATGCACGGGGCAGCACCTGAGTGAGATCAGGCGCTACGACGTCGCGAAGAGCGCGCTCTGGCTGCTCGCCAAACATGCCGCCCAGCTCGACCGCTTCTTGCTGGCAGACTACAAGGTAAACGAGCGCCACCGATGATGACGACGACGATGATGATGATGATGATGATGATGACGATGACGACGACGATGATGATGATGATGATGATGATGACGATGATGACTATGACAATGATGACGACAACGACGACGACGACGATGACGACGATGGCGAAGATGATGATTGTTACGATTTATTCTTTTTTTTTTGGTGGTGTTACCTCGTCGTTAAAATTTACGATTTTACGTCTGAATTTTCCTGGGACAATGTTATCAGGTTTAACTTTAGCATGTGAAATTTATTGTAATTTCGATTCTGCCTGGCAATTCTCACGATTTGTTCTTTTCGTTTTTTCGACGATGCTTCATTGTCACTGACGTCAACGATATAACGTGTAAAATTTTGAGCAGAGTATTAAGCCTTGACCATATTGTGCTTTTGTAAATCCTCCATGTAAGTCTGTTATCTCGGGTCTGACTAACGTCAACAATGTTGACATTTTTACAGGCAGTCTACAGTTGCCTCAGATCTTGGTCTCGTCATCATAACCGTGATGTGCAGATTGCAGGCTATGCTGCATTGGAGGCAGTACTGAAACAGGTATGGTGGTGTTAGGGTGGGTAGCGCAGGCAGTTGTAGGTACAGGTAATGCAGTTACCTATATAGGCAAACTGCAGAGGCAACTATAGTAGTTATACTTACAGCCCTAGGAAAGCTCAGTGGATGATACAGAAAGACAGTGGAAGAATGAAAAATAGGGGGAGAGCAATAGTGGAAGTAAGGGTGTGAGAGAGAAAGGAAGAGAGAGAGAGAGAGAGAGAAAGAGAAATATATAGAGAGAGTGAGAGAGGGGGGGAGTGAGGGGCCAGATAGAATAGAGGGAAAGGGGTGACTCTGTTATCCAATCATGACAAAGTTTGCCATCTTAGTTGCCATAGAGATACTAGAGCCATGATGTAATATGTTACCGTGTACTCTTTGTGTTTTTCAGATCGCTAGTGTGCTTGTAGAGGGAGGTGAAGAAACTAGACAGAGAGACACCATTGTTTTTACTGTATGTCGGCCTTTTGAAAGGCACAACAAATGCCCCATAACAGGAATCGGCTAATACTACTTCTTGCTATAGTATATGGCATCTCTTAGATTAGTACTGCTTCGGATATCTAGCTGTGGATATGTTGGAACTATAGTATAGCAAGTATAGCAAATGCACTGGCAGGTGTAAGGGCATGAGCCTGTGAGCATGTGTAAACACATTCGGTTAACCTTATCTGCTTATTGCCTTCTCATGAAAAAATATCAATCACAATGGCTTACGTGCAACCCTCGCTAATGTATGCAAACCTTTTTTCAAAAATATCACACGTGGGGATGGCCAAATTTATCCTTTAAAGAAACATTTCACTATAAGGGTGATTTCACTATATAACTTACAATCAAGGGAAATGCGAGAAGTGTTCTTTAGGGACAGATGTTCGTTCTGTGGAGGTTTGCAAGCACACTGCCTATACTGTCACTGACTGTGTAGCGGAGATGAGCAAATCATCGAAGTGTGATCATCCGTTTATTTGTTTTTGTTGCATGGCAGTTCTTCGTTCGTGAGTTCCGCACGATCATCGAGGCGGGAACGGACACACGTGACGTCGCCATCGCCGTGCGCGGATACGGAAGCTTCGCAACTGTGAGTTGTCTCCACCGAGCTGACCGCGGGACGACGCTGTTGCCTTGACGACTGGCCTGTCGTCCGCGCAGCGAGCGCTCTCTTGTTTTCACTGCTGTCCGCGAGAATCTCGCCGCGGTGTAACTTTTATAGATTAATTTGCGGTATTTTTTCTCGTACGTTAGCACAGTGAATGTTGCGTGATTCCATGATGAACGTATATCTATGGCATAAAATATCTTGAACATCTGTCTAGTATAGCATATACCATGAACATATCTGTAGTATCGTGTGTTATGAACATATCTGTAGTAATGTGTACCACGAACATGTCTGTAGTAATGTGTACCATGAACATGTCTATAATATAGGATACCATGAACAAATATTTGGCAAAGTCGTGGTTTTACTATGTAGGTTACGAGCTTCATGAAAGCAAACGTTATGCTAGAGTATAGTCTGTATGGGATAACATCAGATGCTGCTTGCCACAAATTCTAATTTCTTACGAGATGCTTGTAATATGATCTATAGTGTGGATGTGTTCTTGGTGATACACTTATGTTTGTGTGTTGTGTGGTTGCAGCCATGCAAGCTATTCCTGAGTGAAGCTGACGTGCAGTACATGTTCACCGACATGGTCGTGAGGAGTCGGCAGATCTTTCACTCGTAAGCATCCGTTGTTGAAACGATTCGCGCGCGATTCGCAGCGACACGGTCGGTCATTAATCGAACAACCCTATCCGTTGATGTGAGATGACTGTGTCACCATCGGATATTCTTAGGTCGGTCAAGCTGGACCGGTATATGCATGTTTTTCACTCACGCACCCCAAAATGTCGGCTTTGCAGCACATCGTGGCTATAAGCACCATTTTTAGAATGTTTCTTTGCAATGCTGATTGGTGCATGGTACTCATCCAGGCAGATGGGACAATCCGTACGTCTCACGTGAAAACACGAAGCTATGGTTTTAGTCGGATCGCTGGCGACGTGATCAGGTTTGAGTGTGTGAGTGTGTGTTTGTGTCGTACGTTTACAGAGGAGAGGAGATGATCGACAGTAGGATGGTGGAGCTGCCACCGCTCCTGGAAGCACTGGCAAGCATCGTGACCGAATTGGATCAGGTAGGAACGAACGGTGGGGCATATCGGACGCAACGATGAGAACTCGAATGAAGCATGAGCGAACACTTCTGGGCAGAAGTCATAGCTTGCTAGCATCGATGAAGTCAAGTATGGATACAGGGCCGAACGTGGTGTGAAGACATGACACCGGGTTATCAGTATAGGGTATTTCACTGCTGCACTGGTGGCAAGTGGTGTGGTTGCCATCGTTACTTGTCATGGTTACCCTTGAAAATGGGTTGATGTACACGGCAGTACACAGCCGTGGTTGTGTATACAGCTGACGCTACATACCTTACGTGTTTCTTTAGGTGTCAGGGTTAGCGTTGCGCATTATACATACAGCCGAATGCACATGCATACATACAGAATAAAATACAGCTGGTGCTAGATGACGCGTGTGCATTCCTGCAGGTGTCGGAATCGTTCCTCGCTTCCCTGGAGCAGCTGGTCGTCCTGCTGTTCGGGAATGTTCCGCTGCTACGCCGTGAGTCCCGGCTGGACCATCGCGCGTGTGGGGCCGTGGTTCGCGTCCTGCTCGCCCTGAGAAGCAAGCGAGCAACGCAGCGATCGCTGGTCAAACGTGTAGGTAAGCACGCTGAAACGAGACAGCAACTGTTGCATGGCAACAGTGCAGCGAGCGAGTTTCCTCCCAAGCCATCTCTAATACTAGCAACAACATGATATCCAGTGTTATAACATAGTATAGAATAATAATAATATTAATAATAATAGTAATAATTATGTAATGTAACGTAATAAGGTTAAGAACATATAATAATTCTATAATAGCAATCGATCCAGATCGTAACTAATCGATTCTATAGCCGTGGGAAATTTACACTTGCAGTGTTTCAAGGACTATTGAGTACATGCTCTCACCCTGTTGCCATGGAAACCAGTTCAGTATTTTCTCAGAATGCAGATGATGTAGATGATGATTTTCAGGTAATAGTTTATTTATCTGTTGTTTTCGTTTTGTGTTTGTGACAGTTACTGTAGTTGTAGTTTTTTTCAGAGATTAATGATATTGAATGCTTTTCTTAACACACAAAATTGTGGCATTCAAAATATTCTCAGAAGTTATTGTATTGTTGTGTGTTGATAAAATTTTAGCTAATGATTGCACGATTTTATAGGAACGCGATCCACGCAACATCACATACATTGACTACATGGACATGTGGCGCCATCTTTTGGGGAGCGACAAAATGAAGGTGAGCATTGTCGTCGCATATCGTCACTAGTTCCCCCAGAATTGCTGTCAAAGTCATTCAGGTAGTTATCCTAACTCAATTACAGATAAAGATCGAGGGTGTTGGTATGTGACACTGACCTGAAGAGTGTGCTTTCAGGGACTGAATGAGCTGGGAGTGTCTATGTCAGACAGGAAGGCGTTGACCTGCTGTGTATACGATGAGATTGTCACCTCCTTGATGAAGATCGTAGGAAAGTTAGATCTCAGCACAAGCAAGAGCACCGACCCATCTCAGGTGAGACTCATGCCTCAGGTGAGACCCTGCTTCAGGTGAGACCCTGCCCAGGTGTGGCCCTGCCTCAGGTGAGACCCTACCCAGGTGTGGCCCTGCCTCAGGTGAGACCCTGCCCAGGTGTGGTCCTGCCTCAGGTGAGACCCTGCCCAGGTGTGATCCTGCCCAGGTGAGATCTTGCCCAGGTGAGATCCTGCCTCAGATGAGACCCTGTCTCAGGTGAGATGCTGCCTCAGGTGAGACCCTGCCTCAGGTGAGACCCTGCCTCAGTGAGGCCCTGCCTCGTGAGACCCCTTTATCAGGTGAAACACCAGGAATCCCCCTCTGTGTAAGAGTTGTGAAGTAACCTGGAACATAGTCACACCTGTACATAACAGTTGTCCACCAAGTGTGCATTATTGTGGACAGGCTGTGTTGGCAGGTGTTTGTTCTATAGCGGTATTCAGTTAACGCCGCTTTGACTGTTCATGAATTGTTCATCTTCTCTACATCTTTCTGTTTGTGATGACATCAACGTTTTGCGAGTCGATGTGTGTTTGTCATTATAAGAGAGAAATTTTAACTGCTAGGTGCATGATGGTAGCGGAGGAGCGAGTTCCGAATCTCCTGACGCGTATTCAGGTGGTAGTGACTTCGCGGATGGACTTGTTCCTTGTCGACCCAAAGACTTCCTTGTCTTCTTCAACCTTGTCGAATTCACGAAGTAAGCATGCAGGCATCAAGCCATGTATATCAGTTCCCACACTGTCGCTTTATCAAACCTGCATTAGTATGTTCACGTTTGTCTAAAGGACACTCTTGGTATTATCCGTTAGTAACAATTACACAGTGAAAGCACCTCTGTAAAATGCACACCTGTTGATAAAGGAAGCATTTGGCATTTCCAATGAGTATAAACCTTATGTATGTGTTTGACGTTGCTGTGCATTTTTATGTAATTCATCGATTGTTCATTCAGGAATTAGCATTGCTCAATAGTATAAGGTTATAATATACCTTATTAACATATAGGTATTAATATAAGGTAACCAAAAACAAATTTAGAAAATTTTAACATGTAAAAATTATTCTCAATTTCTAATTTTTGCTAATATTTAGCATAACTTGGTAAAAACTGTCGATTCATTTCCCGTGCACAATTTTTTGCAGAGACCTACTATCAACCAATCAGACAGCATTGTTTCGTCGCTGGATCTACACTTATGGACACGAAGTTATCTTGTTGTCCACCAGGTGGCCAGTTGTCAGTGGTCTATACAAACTGTTGACCGTGTGTCTGAGCATCTGCTCATCACTGCAATATTTCAAGGTATTCACTACATGTGTGCCTGCTATCATCTAAAGTAAACTAAAGAGTAAAGAGTAAAGCAGGCTGGGCTGACCAGAGGCCTGCGGGTTGATTTTCTGTCACACCCATGAGATTTTTATTCTTTGTTCATCGTAGAGCATACAGAAATAATTTTGTAAACCACACATATATGGTGAAGTGGCCTGCGTCATTTGTGCCCATGTGGTTTAAGATTGATGAAGAGTTGCTATGCTGGAATAGAATTGTTCGGTATGTGTGCATGCAGCGGATGTGTGGGGCGTGCAGGTGTTTGATGCATGCGTGTGTGTATAAATGTGTCACTGCATGAGTGTTTACCTATGTGAGTACGTGTGTAGATGTGCCACTTATTCACATTATTATAAGGCGTTAATCTTCTATTATAGGCGATGAGGAAAGTCAACGACTCACAATTGCATTCTGAAGCAATGGAGACTGACAGCCCTGATGCCGTTGATAATGCAGAGATACTCAACTGTTTTACACTGTTTAAAAAATTCAGTAAAGAAGTATGTTATATTTAATTGTTTTGTTTTTATGTATGATATTGTGACAAATCTCCCCAATTTATACATAACCAAAAAATTATATTAGGTAATTGGATTTTGGTATTCTTATATTGAACTATAGTGTATAGTGCTGAAGATCATTTTTACAGGAATCAGTTTGCATTTGTATCTATTATAACTTTAAAAACTTGTCTTGAAACTATTAATTATTGTATGCTCTTGACTCAGCCAGTGGACACTGATGCTGCGTGATGGTCTTGCAGGTTTTGGTTAAACTGAAGATGTTTCGTGGAGACCTGCTTGTGGCTTGTCTACAGCTCGTCATGGCCCTTCCTTATGAGATTGTGGTTGATATAGTGCCAGAGATTGTGCCTGCAGTGCAGGTTAGTTATAGTTGTTATACTGCTATTTACGAATACATGAAAGTATCGTTAAGTAACACAATTTGCTTGTCACACATAAAACGATGTTCCTGCATCTGCATCTGTCATCGAAATTGAACTTGTCAAAGCTGCAAAGGGCACCCTTTGAGAGTAGCACTTTAAGGAAAATGTAACTCCATACATTAGCAATGTTTGTTATGTAAATTGAGCTTAAATAGCAAAGATACTGAAATCTTGTATCATTGTGTTATGCTTAACATGTCATTTCAGTATAATGAAAGAAACTTTTTTGCGAAGGTTGCACTGAAAATTGGATTGAGTTATCCACCGATGGCACACACGACCTTGGATGCCCTTGAAATGTGGGTGGCTAACCTGCCTGCTGATGTCATGCAGCCTTACTATAAACAAATCCTGCCTCATCTAGATGGTTACCTCAAGACAACAGAAGGTACTAATTATATGTAGGACAAATTATAGAAAAACAACGAAATATAAAAACAAAGATGTCTTAAATTGGACAGAGGATTCCTCTCTATCCTGTGTTTGCAGGCGCAGACAGCGTACCCACGCCGACGGTTGCTATTACGTCTGCTAATGCCACTAGAGGGCGCAAGAAGATTCCTGTCAAATTGCTGCAAGGAAGCGGGCGAAAGATGGCCGAGGATTCAGCACTGACCACGGCACGAATGCGCATCGTTCGCTTCTTAGGAGGGCTAGGTTGGCTTTTTATTACATTGTTCGTGGTTGTTTTTATATTACATATGTAAATATTACATATTTCATGGTTAATTTGTTCTCAATTTAGATTATTCGTGGTTGCTCTCATATCACATTGTTCATTATAGGTCCTCTCATATTACATTGTTCATTATAGGTCCTCTCATATTACATTGTTCATTATAGGTCCTCTCATATTACATTGTTCATTATAGGTCCTCTCATATTACATTGCTAATTTTTCGCTTTTATATTACGTTGCTCGTTTTTTACTTCCATATTATATTGTTCATTTTATGCTTGCTTATATGTTGTTCATGTTTACATTCATTCGTGTTTTCGTGTTACAATGTTTGAATGTTGAATTCTATATCATGATCCTATATATTATGCATACACATTAACTATGTAGTGGTGGTTTTCAGGGCAGCATTACAGCACACTTTAGTTATATCTGTGATAAGTGTTCGTTTTGTTTTTGTTTGCTAGGTGGTGCAAATAACATCAGTCTGATTAGCTGTGATGCGGAAGACATTGCAAAGGTTGCAGTAGCCTGGGATGCTGAGAAGAACCTCAAGTTTGGTGTGCCGTTTGCTGACATGAAACCGGTGATTTATTTTGGTAGGTTTTATACGCGTTGCTTTTAGTGTCAAGCCATTTTTGTTAGTTTCAAGTTTTTAGTTTTTATGCATTATACATTCGTTATATATTCGTTATATTTTCATTATACATTTGTGTATATTCATTATATATGCATTATACACTGTTATATATTCATTATATATTTATTATATATGCATTATATATTCGTTATATATTCATTATATATTCGTTGTATATTTATTATATATTCGTTGTATATTTATTATATATTCGTTGTATATTCATTATATATTTGTCACATATTCGTTATCTCTCTACTCAGATGTCTTCCTGCCAAGAGTGACAGATCTGGCGCTGTCGTCGAGCGACAGACAGACGAAGGTTGTCGCGTGTGAGCTGCTTCACGCGCTGCTGCTCTACATTCTCGGTACAGGAGCGCAGCAGCCAGACAGCATCAAGTCAAAGGTCAGTGACCTCTTTGCTCGCTTGCGACCTATGACCTCATGACAGCATTATTTATAGTGATTAGCGAATGTTGTTGCGGAGTGCAGAATCGTGGCATTGGTAATAAAGTAGATCAAATGGAATCAAATCGGTGTTTAATGCGCCCGCTCTCGTGGCGTGACTGCGCATTGTAGTGGTTATCGGCACATAAATATAGATTCGTGGCATTGATATCGTGTGAGGTTAGATGTAAATTATGATAAATAGTTGCGTTACATTATTATGATAAAATTTTCATGCAAGTATACTTGATCTTTGATATTGATATGATACCTTACAGTCTAGGGTATCAGTGCCCCTTGGTACTAAAACAAAGCATATGTCTTATGATTCTGTCACTTTATTATTGCCCTAAATGAATTACTAATCACATCGTTCAACGACGCTAACTACTGAAGCGCCCTCTATTCCACTTCCAGAGGCCGATGAGCGCCCTCTACTCGCGGCTGTTTCCCGTGCTACTGCGGCTGGGATGTGACGTGGAGCCTGTTGCTAAGCAACTGTTCGAGCCTCTCGTCATGCAGACGATACACTGGTTCACACTGAACCGAATGTTTGAGAGTCCGGAGACAATGTGTCTGCTAGATGCCATTATGGTACAGTAACATGTTATATATATATATATATGTGTGTGTGTGTGTGTGTGCGTGCGTGCGTGCGTGCGTGCGTGCGTGCGTGCGTGTGTACGTGCGTGAGTGCGTGCGTGCGAGCGTGCACGTGCGGCTGTGTATATAATTGAGACCATCATATATTATATAGTACAATATGAACGTGGACTGTATATAGATGAGATAACGATATAGATGATAATATGGTAAGATTAAGATGATATAACATATATTTATATACCTATATATGGCTGTAATGCTACAGGAAGGTATCGTGGATGCTACAGACGCTGCACTGCGGGATTTCTGTGGCAGCTGCATCCGGGAGTTCCTCATCTGGTCGATCAGGCAGACGACGGTCCGGCAGCAGGAGCGTAGCCCCGGTAACACAAAGAGTCTGCTGAAGCGCATGTACAGCCTCGCACTGCATCCGAGCGCGGCGAAGAGACGTGGCGCCACCCTGGTGTTCAACAACATCTACACCGTGCTCAGGTATCACCCCCTATCTCTCCATGTCTCCCCTCTCTCTCTCTCTCTCTCTCTCTCTCTCTCTCTCTCTCTCTCTCTCTCTCTCTCTC